TTCGTGAACTTCTTCGAGATGATGCATTTGACCATGCACTGCATGGCAAGGAAAAGACGGCATGGAAAGCCTTCCAGTTAGTGGCAATAAATTTTCTCGGAAACAACGAGGCAGACAACTACAGGTTGTTGGTGGAAAACCTCCTCAAGGCATACAAAAGCCTTGGTTGCAACATGTCATTAAAGATACATTTTTTGCACTCTCACCTAGATTTTTTTCCACCAAACTGCGGAGCAGTGAGCGACGAGCACGGCGAGCGATTTCACCAGGACATTGCAACAATGGAGAAACGCTATCAGGGCAAATGGAGCCCATCAATGCTTGCAGACTATTGCTGGACAGTGACAAGAGATGCTCCATTTAATGAATACAAGAGACAAGCCAAGAAGCGCCGAGTAGACACTGAATAGGACTAAACTATGTACATAATAGTTTTTTGCCTTTTGTTTCATAACAAATTTTATTTATATAACCCTTTTGCTAATTTTTAAAGTGTTACATAAACAGGACAGGTGAAATATTATCATGTAAAGCAACCATAAACACATGAAAAGACCTAGGTTTACAATTTATGATTATGTATATTGTGTAGATAGTAGAGTTTTAGACATAAAATGTAAAAACTGAAATATCTTAGAAACAGTAGCCAATCAGTTGTTTTAATTGTCATATTTGAATTCAGCACATCAAAATACATAATAAATAGCACATTTTATCTCTGAAGCAGATGACTTCTCAAAAATTGTAGACCAGTGTAAATTAACATTTTTGTTAGGGGCGGGGGGAAATTTTCATGAAGCCTTTTATAGGGACTAAATGCCATCTAGGACTCTGAAATAATCTTAACGTGGCCCATAGAGTGCAATCCTTCGTTCTGGATTTGTCATTCCACAAATTGAACTGCTCCTTACTACTGTCCAGGCTTTCTGAGCCATGGGAGCAAGGGGCAGACTGGGGTAGGTGCGACCGCACGGTAATGCCGGCTGGGAGAGCAGCCTGAGGCAGAAGCCTCCAGCTCGCATGATATTCCAGGCAGGACTGAATCTCCATGAGACAAAACTTAAAGAAGAGAATGACCTGGAGTCACTCCCATTCGGTGCTCTAAGAGGAGGACAGCCATGTCTGTCCAGGCACCCCCGATCTACCTCACCGAGGTCTGCCAGCTGAGCGGGGCTGAGCAGGACTCCGGCTGGCAGAAGCCAGCGGACGGAGCCCCAGACCGGCAGCTGGCTGAGCCGCTCAACCCGCTGCCGGTCTGGGACTCCGTCTGTCGGGCCCGCTCAGCCCGCTGCCTGCCTAGGGTTCCCATCATCCAGGCAGGCAGCGGGCTGAGCGGGTCTGGCGGACGGGACCCTGGAAAAAAGGCACAAAACGATTGTCTGCCGTTGCTCTCACGGAAGGAGGGAGGGAGGGGGGGCCTGATGACATGTACCCAAAACCATCCACAACAAATTTTTTGCCCCATCAGGAATTGGGAGCTTAACCCAGTATTCCAATGGGCAGCGGAGACTGCAGGAACTGTGGGATAGCTACCCACAGTGCACCACTCAGTAAGTCGATGCTAGTTGCAGTAGTGAGGACGCACTCCGCCAGCTTAATGCTCTTAGTGTGGACGTACGCAATAGACTGTATAAAATCGACTTCTATAAAATCAACCTAATTTTGTAGTGTAGACATACCCTTAGTGTCTCGCTGACCAACAGTAGACCCCTCACCCATTATTTACAGATAACTTGTATCTAGGCCATCAGACCAGAGGAAAATGGTGAGATCACACAACACAATACTTCTATGCTTCCTGGCCATCTGCTGTAGAAAGATATCCATATGCTATACAGTCCAACTTCCATGAGGTGACCAGCAGGATTCCAGATGAGAATTTGGGCTTTAACCATCTGTGCCACCAAAATAGAGAAGAACGGTAAAGAGCTATCAGTGGAGTGACAGAAACTCAGAATTGCCACTGTCTTGTGCCAAACTTTAGTTTTGTTCCATGGTTGTGTAATTTCATAATTACAGTCTTATGAAGCTTCGTAATCTGACTATAGTGTCACAACCAGCAAAATCAGTTTGGCTGATACCCTGTTGTGCCTGTCAGAACGTGTATGTTGTCTTTTGCTTATTACGTATGTAATAAGTAGGAACTACAGAAGCACAATTGGGTCCACATAGCTGTTTACTAACTATATATACAATGTGCAAAGCCTAGCTACATATATATGCTGCTGCCCTGGCAGGATCTGATGACTTCTGAACATAAACAACAGTGAGAGCAACTAGAGTGCTCACAAACTATTTAAAGGGATTCTACCCTATTACTGTACCATACAATGTGTGTCTGCATGTGCAATAACCTTTATGTACAAGGGTGAGACTTGTATTTACAATCATACTTGGTGTACATTTATCTTTTTAAACACTTGAGTACAGTGACTTTAGTGCTGTTGAAAGGTGCTGGCTTGGCAGCCCTGTTGCCTCAAGACTTTTCATAGAATAGGAATTGTTAAACCCTGGGTCCCAACCTGGGGCTCCAGCATCTACGCTGCATTATGTGGGTCTAAGTCCAACCACCCATATCCCAGACTTCCTAGCATCCTAGCAATGTAACTGCTCTAACCCTTTGTTCGTGGTGCAGTGTGGGAAAACTTGACTGTCCAGAAGACAAAGAGGCCACGTGGGATTGTGGAATACTTTTGGTGGACTCCTAGAGCGTGAGTCCAGTGGGTCTGCATCTACACTGCAAAGCAATAGGGCTTGAACCTGGGGTCCTGATTTTACTCAGGTTCAGACCCTCCCCATGGACTCCTGCGACTCGGGGTCCGAGCCTTGAGTTAGCGTGATTTGTGCATAGATGGAAGGGGCCCGATAGGCTTGAGCCCAAGTTTCCAGTGTGAGCTTGGTTTGCAGTGTAGCCATAGCCCATAGAGAAACTATTTCTAGGTATGAGAGGATGGTTCAGTTTCTGTAGACAGTTGAATCCTTGGCCACTCTGACTGTGACTAAGTGACCTATCTGCTTGTGATGAGGGGTTCTGTTTACTAGGAACCAGAACCTGAAATTACTCTTGAGCTGTGTAGTATAGTACTTTCAAGAGCATATAATGGAGAGTTGTTGTCCATAATTCTTGTGTGAGGGGAAGGGCCACATCTGTTCTATTGATATGGATTTATATTCCAGAGTCGGGCTTTTGACAAAATCACTGTAAGACTTACATGTTTAGGAGGGTGAGTGACAACACCTTCCTACTTACCTGAATGTCTTTGAATGTTATGTCTGTCATGGGGAAGATGCTTAGATTGCAGAGGATAGGAGCCAAAGGTTACAAATGTTTGGTAGTATAAGATACTCCAGGTGGAAGTGAAATATACTAGTGGGATGATGGAGACGTACACTAGTCTCATTATATGCACACACTAGAATTTAATTCAGGACAGGAAAAGCACAGACCAGAACAATTTCAAACCCACATAAGTATAGATATAACATAATTTAGCCTAGTAGAATTGTTCTTGTTATAAAGGTGTTTACCAGTGGTCAACAGTATTAAAGTCAAAGGTTTCTTTTGTTTTAATCATAGAATCATAGAATATCAGGGTTGGAAGGGACCTCAGGAGGTCAACTAGCCCAACCCCCTGCTCAAAGCAGGACCAATTCCCAACTAAATCATCCCAGACAGGGCTTTGTCAAGCCCGACCTTAAAAACCTCTAAGGAAGGAGATTCCACCACCTCCCTAGGTAACCCATTCCAGTGCTTCACCTCCCTCCCAGTGAAAAACTTTTTCCTAATATACAACCTAAACCTCCCCCACTGCAACTTGAGACCATTACTCCTTGTTCTGTCATCTGGTACCACTGAGAACAGTCTAGATCCATCCTCTTTGGAACCCCCTTTCAGGTAGTTGAAAGCAGCTATCAAATCCCCCCTCATTCTTCTCTTCCGCAGACTAAATAACCCCAGTTCCCTCAGCCCCTCCTCATAAGTCATGTGCCCCAGCCCCCTAATCATTTTTGTTGCCCTCCGCTGGACTCTTTCCAATTTTTCCACATCCTTCTTGTAGTGTGAGGCCCAAAACTGGACACGGTACTCCAGATGAGACCTCACCAATGTCAAATAGAGGGGAATGATCATGTCCCTCGATCTGCTGGCAGTGCCCCTACTTATACAGCCCAAAGTGCCGTTGGCCTTCTTGGCACCAAGGGCACACTGTTGACTCATATCCAGCTTCTCATCCACTGTAACCCCTTGGTCCTTTTCTGCAGAACTGCTGCCTAACCACTCAGTCCCTAGTCTGTACCAGTGCATGGGATTCTTCCATCCTAAGTGCAGGACTCTGCACTTGTCCTTGTTGAACCTCATCAGGTTTCTTTTGGCCCAATCCTGTAATTTGTCTAGGTCCCTCTGTATCCTATCCCTACCCTCCAGCGTATCTACCACTCCTCCCAGTTTAGTGTCATCTGCAAACTTGCTGAGAGTGCAGTCCACGCCATCCTCCAGATCATGTATATGTACAGTTCAGTGCTAGTTCCTTCATGCTGGGGCACAAGCTTTTTAGTATTCCAAAAGGAGAGAGTTGAAGGTCAGAGTGAAATTTATTATGTTCCCCACTCAAAAACTGTTAATGGTGATGTAAAAAGAAAAATGCCAGGTTGTCCTTATCAAGGCTGTAATTCCTGTAGGAAGCCCATGAGATATTCATTGAGTCTCAGCTTCAGTTTGGACCTTGAAGAACTGTTACTAGCACTGTTTGCTGATAAAATGATGTTACCCATGAAAAGTATATAAATTTATATATATTAATCCTAATCATAAACCAAAATGATCCATGGATCATTTTTGAAAGAGGATGAAACATTAACTCTGATACCTGATTAACTTACAACCTCATTTTCCCCAAAATTCAGGCCCAGAATGCTTCCTTTTCCATTATCCCTCCACCACTTCTCAGGGCTTGGAGGAAATATTTCAAGTGATTGTTCTCTATTTCCACACATACGTTCAGTTCCACAAAAGACATCTATCCTGGACTGATTGAAGAGGGCTCACAGCACATCTGAATGCTGCTTTCTCCTAATGAGATTTGAGGCAGTTTGACTGCAAGAGCAAGCTTCTCTGCCCCCAATCCTGTGCTTATTGATCAGTTCTGAAAGGTAAGTTCTGGGATCCCTACAGATATACTCTGAAGAACCCTTCCACTTCAAGTGGCATTACTGATAATGGGAAAACTAATTCTATTGGTCTAGAATGTACATTCACATTTCAGTGTTCACAAAGAACATTTCTCTGACCACACTGTACAATTCCTTTGGGACTCTTGTACTATATATGTGAGGATTGCTTCTGGGCAACACAGGCTTGAAGGTTTATTCATCCTGTGATGAGTAGAATTGGTGCCAGAAGTGCTGTACTCATCATCTTGGGCGGGGGGGGGGGACGACAAATGAGCTTGGCACCATGGATGAGCAATAAGTACTGTGTAGCTGATATGGACAGGTTTGAAATGGCATCCCGCTCAGTTTTTGTGGCCAGAATCTGTGATATTCTTGCTTGGCTGAGGAGGGAACATATTCCATGAGAGGCTGAATGTTAGGGATCATCACGAACCTGCCAGGTTTAGCTAGTCATGGAATGACCTCAGTGATTACTTACATGAAGCTTTGGCGTACTCTGTCACAATATGAATGGGAGAGGAGGTGCTCCACATGACCATGAATGGGAAGGGAGCTGCCATACACACACTTTCTGTTAAGATGTAGTCCATGCTATGACAAAGTTTGAGAACCTTAGTGTATATCTCCTTCCCCCCCCCCCCCCCCCCAAAAAAAAAAAAGCTGAGTAACTGTAAGGCTTGAGGGATTGATGGGATTCAAAGCCTTTCCTCTCTTGATTACTGATTCAAATACAGCCTAGGCTTCTTATGACCAAAAGCTGTTCCCATCTGATAGCTGTTTAGTGTTTACTATGATATGAGTTGTGGCCTCACCCCATCTCCAGTTATCGCTATGTGGGCCATGGAGAGCTACTTTGACGCTCCTAGAGGTGGTCGTTCCAGGTTAGGATTCTGTGCAAGGGTTTATTTTATTAGAGGACTTCATTCTTCAAAGCTGTTGATGTTCTGTCTTACCCTAGCACTAAATTCACAAACACAAAATCTAAGCAAGTTCCAAAGCCAGTACTAAGGTGTCGTCGTTTCTGCTACGTAAATTCCCTTCAGGTTTCTTTGAATACATTTAGAGCTGGGATTCTCAAACGGGGTCATGCAGTTATTACATGGGGGTCTCAAACACCTGCATGAAACAGAGCAACTGCTATACAGTATATAATTTAAATCTAGCATTTTAGAAAATTACACACACCTTTCTGTTACAATGTACTGTATTTACTTCAGAAGTATTGTAAACATATAATGCAGTGATTGTTGTTCCTAAACAAAGTATATTTTTTTATCACCACCACTTTAAGGAATTGGGACTCTGGGGATTGTAGTATTGTGTGCACAGATTTGTTGTCTTGAGACAACATTAGAGGGCTTGATTGTTCAGCATCTGAAGAGCTGCATTAAACCGCAGACCAATCAGAACACTGAGATGGGCAAAAAAAAAAAAGGTAATTTATAATTTAACAGACACACACACAGGCAGGCGCGGTGCTAGGAGGGGTGGCTTGCAGGGGCTATAGCCACCCCAAAATTTGCTTTAGTCCCTGCCCCCCATAGCCATGTCTCCCAAGTGCAAAGATCAAACGTGACACAGAAGTACGGGTGGCATAGTGTGGCATTGCCACCCTTACTTCTGCAGTTCTGCACTGCTGCTGGTGGCTGTGCTGCCTTCAGAGCTGGGTGCCCGGCCTGCAGCTGCCACTCTCCTGCCAGCAGCTGCCACTCTCCAGCCACCCAGCTCTGAATGCAATGCCTGCTGCCAGCAGCAGCACAGAAGTAAGGGTGGCAATAGGGCACTAAGTCTGCTTTGACAAAGTTTCTTCGTGCCCTGACCCCAGTTATTAAACAGTAACTAGTTAAAAAAATAACTTTTCTGCTTATAACAATAATTTAAATAAAAATGTGTGGTACATTTAGCACTTAGAAATAGTTTGTGTTTTTAATTTATAAGGGGGGGGGGGGGGTTGCACTCAGAGGCTTGCTGTGTGAAAGGGGTCACCGATAGAAAAAGTTTGAGAATCCCTGATTGAGAGAGAGCACAGTGACTCAGTAATTCCAATATTTAATAATGAGCTTCCTCAACCTCTGTCCTTCGTAGTCCCCTCTTAGGTGAGAGAGGAATTCAGTCTTAATGTTGGTTCCGCTTCAGACCCCCTCACTTTCTAATGGCTTGTTGTGCTTTCCCTCTTCTATGTTTCAGCTGGAAGGAGATGTGGCTACAGGATTATTGGCAGAGTCTTGACCAGGGTGAGGCTCTCACCACCATGATTCACCACAACGAGTCTCATCAGGGAAGATTTTGGGATTACATGCATGAGATCTTCCTGAAGAGGACCAGACAGCAATGACCATCGTCATGAGCACCTGGTTCAGTGTTACATGGAAGGCTGGGATGGTAGGGACTTTTACCTGTCTCCGAAGACTCTGTCTTGGAACGCAAGAGGAATTGCTCATCTTGTATCTCATTCTGACTTTGGAGACCTTCCTTTCATGGGGTCTGAGGACAGTCAGTCTCTGATCAGGTTTGAGTTCACCCCCCCCCCCCCCCCCCCCACACCACTTCAGCAGTGGGCCCTGTTCTGGAGACACCGTCTTCAGAGTCTGGGGTCAGAGAAGAATTCAATCTCTTTGTGCTTTCAGTGTAATTTCCTTCTGACCAAAAAAGTATTACACTTTGTGCCAAATTACTTGGAACATAGGCCAGTTGAGGCTGAACTGAGGTGTCCTAAGCTTGTTTCATTTCAGGAGTTTAATTCCACATATTCAGTATTATTTTTTTTAAAGGCTTTTTATTTCGCTAGGCACTTATCCCTCCCATTAAGATTGGGTGTTTTTTTTTTTTAAATCAGGGATACTGGTAAATGACCAGCTTTTATGAACAGGTAATTTTTCCAGTGAGGCAATTATGATAGATTAATATCTGGGGAGAGGGGTTATGCCTTATGAAACTTCAGTGATAAAGCATTCCCCCTTCAAGTGAATAAGCCTCAAACATAGTAAATTTCAGGAAGCTTTTTCCCTTCCCCTCCTCTTCCCTCCCCTCCATCAAACAGAGTTCACTTCTGTTAAATGATGACAATCTTAGTGGTCTTGGCAAAAACATCATTTCAGATGTGATATTTCTTACTCCTGTAAATCTCATAATGATCAGGATATGGAAAGAACTGTGCAATTTATACCCCCACACTGTGTGGGCATGAGCACATGTGCGATTTACATGCTGTGTGAGTCCAATTCACTACTTATCCTGTGTTCCGTGAACTAATGACAACGGATCTTAGACCATCCCTCTAACCCAGTGGTTCTCAAACTTTTTTTTTCTGCGGATCACTGGAAAATTGCTGAGAGTCTTGGCGGACCACTTAATGATCTTTTCAAATATTGTTTGTACCATTAGCTAACTATTGTAAAGCCCTTTGGATAAAAGTGCTATATAAAAAACTTAATAATAATTTTTTTTGTTCTACAAATAAAAGCACACAACTCATATTTTAATATCAGTAGTCTGACCTTTCTAATGTGATGGATGTGCCCTCTCTCCCCTGCTGCGGCAGCCCTTGAGCTGGGGCTGGGAAGGAGAGCTGACTCTCCCTGGCAGCCGCAGGCCTGGTGCTGGGGAAAAAGTATTTAGAATTGAACCATAGCCATAATCAGTGCGGATGAAAGTGGAATAATGTTTTACATTTATTACTGCTATTAATACAACCTCTTTTACAACAGCATTGTATTGTTGACTTGTTTAATTTATCATCCATTATGGCGACTAGATGCTGTCTTGTGCCTATATGCAGTGTATCTTTGCTCTGTTTTTGTGCAGTTGATTAATCCTTCATAGACGTGTTTCTCTGCAGTTATCTCTCTCTCATTTTATTGATTTTTAGCCCTTTTTTCAGTTTATCAATAGAGTATTTTAATTCCATTCTCCAAACTATCTACACTCCTTCCCAGCATCATATAATCAGAATTTGTTTCACTTGCTCTTGTTGCCATCTTCCAAGTCCCTAATGAAAGTATTAATAGTGCTGGACCCAGAACAGACCTCTAAGGAACATCAGACAGCATCTCCTCCTAACTTGACTTTGAATCATTGATCATTTGTGTTCAGTTTTTTCATCCAGTTCAGTCATTTTATGTAAATTCCATCTAATCTGTTTTTTAAGGGACTGCCACATGGAACCGTATCAGATGCCTTACTAAAATGGAGATATGTTCCCTTCTGCCTTTTATTTAGCAACTAAACTTGTTATCCAGTCACACACACAAACTTAGCATGATTTGTTTAATGAACTCATGTTGCCTACCATTTTTCACCTGTTTTCCCTTTGGTGCCTACAAATCCTCTGCTTGCCTAATTCTTCCAACAATTGAGCAGGGCCTTGCCTGTCCTCCATAAGATCTCAAAAATAATAGCCAGTTCTAATACTGCTTCTGCCAGTTACCAGGGTTGAGAGTTTCCCTGGGCCCTGCTTATTGAATGTATTAAGTAATTCTGCCCTGTGGCTTTTCCCTTTCCTGTTAACTAGTACTGCATTAAATCTTCTGTTAGTATTTTTTTTTTTTTTTTTTTTTACTGAAGACTGAAGAATTTCTTTTTGTCCTCTCCTACTTTAAGCGAGGGATCCAAACACACACTTTGGCCATCCATTTGCTCCTTATCTTGCATGCTTTTGCATCCTTTAGTAATAGCCTCTCATGTTATGTCTTTGACTCTAATTTACCCCTGCATCTGCCTTACTGTCCCTGATCTTATCTCCTGTGATTTCTGACTCAAACTCATATATAATTGTTTTCAGGGAGAAAATCCAGTTTTGCCTTCCGTTACAATGGAAGCCCCACTCGTTGTAGGCCTCATGTGGTTCTGCTGCATAGGCTATGGGCAGATTTTGGGATGGGTGTCAGCTCTATTCATTGGATCTGCAACCACTGCACAGCGTCAGCCCCATTCTCTGAGATTCCCTTTGCATCTCTATGCAGCAAGGTTTTGGGGTACGGAGACAGAGAGATAGATATGGGGAGGAGCAAGACAGTGGCAGATCCACTATCCAATGTGGACCCACCAGTCATCACTCCATGTAGAGTAGGGATGTGGGAGCAGCAGCAGGATTAACTGCGGCCTTAAGGTTGCAGTAATGGCTGCACAGTGATTCAGCTTCTACTCAGCAGCTTGGTGAGATTGAATTCCTTCCATCTGCATGGGTCTGTCCCCAAGAAATGACTCCCTTCACAAAACCTGGGTATTCTGGTGCAGATTTGATTCAAGTCTGTAATACAATACCCCGTGCACTCATTTTTTCCTTTTCACTTGTGTCTTGCAACTGTTAACGTTTTGTGTTTTTTACAGTTAAAGTTGCAATTCCAACCCCTCCCCCCCCCCCACACACACACAACATCCTGCACATGATTGAACAGCAACAAACATTAAAAATGTGGAAACCATATTAAGATTAAATATGTATATCAGGCTCAACCACAGACGCATTCCTGCTACCCTGGGCAGGCCGCCTGCTGTACACTTTCCCCTGTTCCCTCTTGTGCACAGGGACGGGGCAGAGATAATTCTGGTGGCATCAGTGTGGCCTTGACAACACTGGTACACCATGCTCCTGGAACTGTCAGTGGTCGCCCCAGTCACATTGCCACTCCTTCCCAACCTGATCACTCAGGACCACAGTTGTCTTCATCACCCCCGACCTGCAGTCCCTCCACCTCACAGCTTCGAAGCTTCATGGCTGAACCCCATGGAACTTCTGTGCTCAGAACAGGTAAGGGAGGTCCTACTCGGCAGCAAGAAGCCCACCACTAGAACCACATAGCTGGCAAAGTGGAAAAGATTTACTTGTTGGTGTGACCAGCGTCGTGCACCTCCTCTTCAGGCACCAGTACCTCTCATCTTAGAGTATCTTCTGCACCTGAAACAGCAAGGCCTGGCAGCATCCTCCATAAAGGTACACCTCGCTGCTATCTCAGCTTCCCACCAGGGAGCATCTAGGCGCTCTGTCTTCACCAACCCTATGGTTTGCTGGTTCCTCAAGGGTTTGGAACATCTACATCCCCAGATCAGACAGCCTGTCCCCGTGTGGGACCATATCCTGGTCCTCTCCAGGCTAATGGCGCCCCCATTTGAACCGCGGGCGACTTGCTCCCTTCTCTATCTGTCGTGGAAGGTAGCCTTCCTGGTTGCCATTACATCAGCAAGGAGGGTGTCTGAGTTAAAGGCGCTTACCTCAGACCCAACTTACACGGTTTTCCACAGGGATAAGGTGCAACTCAGATCTCATCCAGCCTTTCTTCCTAAGGTTGTGTCACACTTCCACACTAGTCAGGACATTTTCCTACCTGTTTTTTATCCTAAGCCTCGTGCCAGTAGTTGTGAGCAGAGGCTGCACTCCCTGGATGTTCAGCGAGCAGTAGGCTTTTACATCGAGCGCACTAAGCCGTTCAGAAAGTCGAACCAGTTCATAGCAGTGGCAGAACGGATGAAAGGACTCCCGGTCTCAGCTCAGAGAATATCTTCCCGGATCATGTCATGCATCCGCACGTGCTACAAGGTGGCCAAAATTCCAGCCCCGGCACTTACGGCACACTCCATGAGAGCTCAGGCCTCATCAGTGGCGT